GCTATTGTAAATGCTATTGATTTGGTGATTTCCTCTTCGCAGTTCTCTTTGTTGGTGTTGAGGAATCCAATTGATTTTTGTATGTTTATCTTGTATCCTGATACTTTGCTGAAAACTTCTATTAGTTCTAGTAGTTTTCTTGTGGATTTTTTGGGGTTTTTTGTGTATGAGATCATATAACCTGCAAAGAGATACTTTTATTTCTTCCTTATCAATTTGGATGCCCTTTATTTCTTTTTGTAGCCTAATTGCTCTGGCTGGGACCTCCAGCACAATGTTGAATGAGAGTGGTGATACAGGGCATCCTTGTCTGGTTCCTGTTCTCAAGGGGAATGCTTTCAAACTGTCTCCATTTAGGATGATGTTGGCTGTTGGCTTTATACAAATGCCCTTAATTATGTTGAAGAATTTCCCTTCTAATTATGTTGAGGAATTTCCCTTCTATTCCTATTTTGCTGAGAGTTTTTATCATGAATGGGTGTTGAACTTTTTCAAATGCCTTTTCTGCATCAATTGATAAGATCATGTGGTTCTTGTCTTTTGTTTTATTTATGGTGATGGATGACATCGATTATTTTTCTAATGTTGAACCATCCCTGCATACCTGGTATAAATCCCACTTGATCATGGTGAATTATTTTTTTGATATGTTGTTGAATTCTATTGGCTAGAATTTTGTTGTGGATTTTTGCATCTGTTCATGAGCGATATTGATCTGTAATTTTCTTTTTTTGGGGTGTCTTTACCTGGTTTTGGTATCAGGGGTATGCTGGCTTCATAGAATGAGTTTGGGAGCATTCCATCCTTTTCTATGCTCTGAAATACCTTTAGTAGTAGTGGTATTAACTCTTCTCTGAAAGTTTGGTAGAGTTCTCCAGTGAAACCATCCAGGCCAGGACTTTTTTTGTTGCGAGTTTTTAAATTATGTTTTCAATCTCTTCTTTTGTTACAGGTTTATTTAGTTGTTCTACCTCTGTTTTTGTTAGTTTAGGTAGGCAGTGAGTTTCTAGAAATTTGTCCATTTCCTCTAGGTTTTCAAATTTATTAGAGTACAATTTCTCATAGTATTCTGTTATGATTCTTTTAATTTCAGTTGAGTCTGTTGTGATATCACCCATCTCATTTCTTACACAGGTTATTTGCTTCCTCTCTTATTTCTCTTTTGTCAGTTTGGCCAGTAGTTTATTGATTTTGTTGATCTTTTCAAAGAACCAGCTTTTGGTCTTGTTAACTTTTTCAATTGTTTTTCTATTCTCCATTTCATTTAATTCTGCTGTAGTCCTTATTATTTGCTTTCTTCTGGTGTCTGAGAGCTTTTTTTGTTGCTCTGTTTCTATTTGTTCGAGTTGCAGGGTTTATGTTTTGATTTTGGCCCTTTCTTCTTTTTGTTTGTGTGCATTTATTGCTATAAACTGACCTGAGCACTGCTTTTGCTGTGTCCCAAAGCTTCTGGTAGGATGTGTTTTCATTCTCATTTGATTCTGTGAATTTCTTTATTCCATCCTTAATTTCTTCTATAACCCACTAGTTTTTGAACAAGGTGTTGTTCAGTGTCCATGTGTTTGATTTTTTCTTCTTGCTTTCTCTGTTATTGATTTCAATTTTTATGTCTTTATGGTCAGAAAAGATGCTTTGTAATATTTTCATGCCTTGGAGTCTGTTAAGGCTTGCTTTATGGTCTAATATGTGGTCTATTATATAGTGTCATTCCTTATCCTTTGTGGTGGATTTTACTATAAAGTCTATTTTGTCAGAGATTAATATTGCCACTGCTGCTCTTTTTTGAGTGTTGTTCACTTGATATATTGTTTTCCATCGTTTGAGTTTTAGTTTGTTTGTTGCTTTAAGTCTAATGTGTGTCTCTTGTAAGTAGCATATAGACGGATCGTGTTGTTTTTAATCCATTCTGCTACTTTCTGTCTCTTTATTGGTGCATTTAGTCCATTTATATTCAGCATAATTATTGATAGGTATGAGTTTAATGCTGTCATTTTGATGTCTTTTTTTTTTAAATGTTGGTGACATTTTCTTTGTTCCACTTAATTTTCTGTGCTGTTGTTTTTCTTTATGTATTTTCTTTTCATCTTTTTTGTTGTTGTTGATTTTGTATTTGCTGTGTCTTTATATTTTTCTTGTTATCTATTTTGATGCATAGGATTGTTAGTTTCCTTTCTCATTACCTTAATATTTACCCCTATTTTTCTAAGTTTAAACCAGTCTTTTATTTCTTCATATTGCCTTGACTTCGTCTCCATATGAAAAAAACTATGCTACATTATTTAGTCTCTGTTTTTTGTTTTAATGTTGTCATCTTTTACATATTGACATCTCTGTTCCTCTATTTTCAGTGTTTTAGCTTTGATTTTTTTTTTTT